AGCTCGTTTCGAATTTCCTTTCACAAACTCTCGAACTGAAAATGAAAAATTGCTACCACCTCCAGAGGTGGTAGCAAAATGCCCTTCCCCGAGGCCCGCCATGCCGCTGACATTTGATACCCCGTTTGCTGCTTTTGCCACTCGTGCGACTGGCCCAACCATCAAATTTTAGCTATTTTGCCATAAAAAGGCCCTAGCGAGAGTAGGCCTTCACAATAGGGGCCTTTCTGGCAAAATTGCAAAATTTGTTATGGTTTTGCAGTCACACTTTCCCTGCCCACCCATAAAAGTCGCTAGTGGTACCTCTAGAGGTACTGGCAATTTGGTATTTTCCCGAATCCGTGAGCTCACAGAAGAGAATCTAAGATATCCCTTGTCTAGCTTCACTGTGTGACCGCAAAAGTGGGCAATTTTGCAAATGGCAGGGCATTGAAGCATAGGGTCTCGTTAGATACTCCTAAAAGTGCCTGTTTTTAGGATTGTGTCTTGGTTGCACGCAATCCTAAATCCAATTTTGAGATCGAAAATGTGAAAACGGCGTTAGGGCGAGTCCTAAAGGATTTAGGATTCCCCAGGCAAAATCAGCCTAAATTTTCCAGTAGCCCCCGACCTACTCAAAAATTTAGGATTCCTGCGTTCCACGGACTCGTTGTGTCACGCGCATGGCACCCTCGACACGGAGTTGCTGGTGCAGCAGTGGTTAGTCGGGTCAGTGGTCGGACATCGGAGGTTTTCTGCGGGTCGACGCGGGCAACGGCCACGAACAGTAGCCGAGGGCGAGGATTGGACGGACGTTGGCAGGGATGGATGGACATTGGCGACGCCGCTGCGTATACGCATATGAAAACCGGCCGCGGGAGACCTTTTAGGACGAATCCTAAAAGATGATTTTTAGGATTGCGTGTAACAATGCCACACAAAATCCTAAAAATCCTTTAGGGCTCGTCCTAAAAATTTTAGGATTCTTTTAGGAGTGTCTAACCAGACCCTTAGTCTTTCCCAATTTGGTAACCCCGTGTCACTGCACAACATAGCAAAACTACAAACTTTTGTTGTTTTGCTACATCCGCTTGAGGGCCTACTCACACTAGGGCCTTCTATATCGCTGAAGTTTGATGGTTGGGCCAGTCGAACGAGGCACGGAAAGTAGCAAAAGTAGCAAACAGGGTATCAAATGTCAGCAGCCTGGCGGGCCGCTGGGAAGGGCATTTTGCTACCACCTCCAGAGGTGGTAGCAATTTCTTTTTTTGGTTCGAGATTTCGTGAAAAGAAAAGAACTTGAAGGATTTGGTCCTCGCGCTGTGAGGCACCATTTTGGCAATTGCCAGAAAGTCCCCCTCGTGTCTTTTGTGATTTGCTACCACTACGTGACCGGGACGGGTGGCACTTCAGCAAAATAGGGATAGTGAAATTTGCAGTGTTTGCTGCTCTGCCACCACTGTGTGAGGGAGTACTCACATAACGGTGGTGTAGCAGCAAAATCTGCAAAATTTGCAATCCCGCTTTTCGTGAAGTACTACCCCGCCCGGTCACGGCAGGAGCAAATCTCAAAGGACACGGACGGACTTACTGCCAATTGCTGAAATGCTGCCTCTCCTGGTCGCACTGCAGCAGGCCTAAATACTTCAACTTTTTGTTTTGCCCAAATCCCTCAACCTTTTGTTTTTGTGTTTCCTCTGGCTTGGAGCAGTCGATAGACGCGCCAAAATTTCCTTTCAGCAAATGGCGAACTGAAAAAAAGAATTTCCTACCATCTCCAGAGGTGGTAGCAAAATGCCCTTTTCCGCTGCTAGCAAGGCCGCTGACATTTGATACCCCGTTTGCTAACGTGCTACTTTCTGCGACTGGCCAAACCATCAAATCTATGCTATTTTGCGATGGAAGGCCCTAGTGTGAGTATGCCCCGAGTATGCCCTAATTTCGCACATTTTGTGAGTTGTGGACCCAGGCCCATGGTGCATAGCCAATCAACTTGCAATTTAGAAAAAGGAAAGAGGAAACTGGCAATGGGGAAAACAGAAAGCACAGAAAGACCAGGCGATGTTTTGGCCCGAAGGGAGGCTAGGGTCCCCTTTTTTTGGGTCCTGCTGTTTCCCCAGAGAACCTTGCGTCCAATGAAAGTCCGCTGAATGTACTTCTGAACAATCGAAGTGTCAGGACGGATAGCGCGTGATCCAAACGCACGTGGCAAAGACCCCTTGCCTGGAGGACAGTGCCAGCTTCTCTGCAGGCGGATAGAGTAGGCGAGCCTCTACTGGTAGCGGCGGCGATTAGGGCGTCGAAGGGGTAATCAGTTGCACGGGGGTGCTGGCTGAGAAAAGCAAGAAAGGAGAACCGCCATGGGCTCCATACGCAGGCCCAACTTAGGGCAGACTCACACGAGGACATTTCCAACTTCTCCGTGGACGCGATTGCAGTCAGGTGCATCCTCGGCTCACGGTAATAGATGACAAAAAATACTTACAGGAAAGAAACTTCCCAACTTAAAAAAATAATAATAATAAAAAAAAAAAAAAAAAAAAACTTAGGGTTTGAGACGATCTCCTTCCCGCCTTCCATTGCCGCCATCGGCAGCAAGCGTGGAGGTCGCAGGCTATCTTTCTTTTTTTTTTGTTTTTGTTTTTGAATTTTTAAAGTGCAGCAGGCTATCCTTTTCCCTACCAGTAGGTTCACATGAATATGTTGATGTACGATACCTACAAATAGAAATTATATTTCAACGCACTACATCGCGGCATTATGAGACGAATTTTGCAGTCTACTACGCCTTCCTCATTCCACTATTATTTATTATTAGATGACATTCATTATCTACCGCGGCCGCCAAGCCCACTAGCCTTAAAAAAAAAAAAAAAAAAAAAAAGCCTACCAGAGAGCGCAGCGAGGTCTACTGGGCCGAGGTCCCACTAGCAAAGAGGATAGGATCGAATGTCTGAATCTGGATGTGTTTTATGCAGAGATGCAGAAAGGCAGTTCAATCTCGATTTCCTGCACCTCTCTACAAACACGTCCAGATGCAGGCATTCGATCCCATCCCCTTTGCTAGTGGGACCACGCCCCTGGCGAAAGCCGAAACCGCCGTGCATTTTGTCGGAGGACACAGCAAGATTCGTTCGGTCTTTGTTTTTTTTTCTTCTTTTTTTCTTTTTTTTTAAATAATTCTTTGTTTCTTTGGATGTGGGGAAGCAACATAGGGCGTCGCCCCACTACTCTCGACATGCACAAAAGACAAAAATCATGTCTGTGCGTCTTTCTATGTTCTAGCGGAAGATTCAGGGCAGTTCGCCATCTTCTTCTTCTTCTTTTTCTTCTTCTTCTTCTTCTTCTTCTTTTTTATTTTTTTGGAAGAGGTAGAAACTTTATATATATATATATATATATATATATATATTATTATTTTTTTTTTTGCGTCCTTCGGGACATCCGTTAAAATTGGAACGATACAGAGAAGATTAGCATGGCCCCTGCGCAAGGATGATACGCATAGATCGAAAAATGGTCCAACAAAAAAAGAAACTTTATATTTTTTATATTCCTAAATGTTGGAAACCGAGGCAGGGGGAAACCTCACAAACAACCCGGAAGGAAGGCTAGGGCCCTTGCCCAGAGTGGGCAGGTGCTGGAAACCGCGGGCAAGGTCCCACTTGCACAAATTAGGAGATTTCGGCCGTTGATCTTTGCTATCTACGGTCTGTATCTCTTAATTCGTGCAAGTGGGACCTAGCCCCGGAGGGCTAGGGTCCAGCGTCCCCTCTTACCAACTCACCTCACCTCACCTCACCTCACTTCAGGAATTCTTCCAAGTACAGCATGAATGAAGCACGGCCAAAAAAGTAAGGGCGAAGCAAGGACCTCCAATTCCAGAACCTTTTTTTTTTTTTTTTTTTTTTTTTTTTTTTTGTTCTTCCCGTGAGAGTACCATAAAGAAATGGAGTGGGAACCAGGCTCGGCAAAACTCGGAGCGCAGTGAAAATCAGGGTCGGCAAAAACAGGCTCGGAGGTACTGGTGGTTTAACGCCCAGGGTGTTCTGGAGGCGAAGGACCAGACCCGCGGTGAACTCGTTGATATCGACGGTAGCAACATCTGATAGACTGTGCTGCTTATTCGAAGACGAAGCAAATAAAGCATGAATGAAGCACAGCCGAGGGGAGTTAGGGGGAGGGCTGACTTCGTCTTCTTTTTTCCTTTTCTTGTTTTTCCCTGAAAAAGAGCTCTATTATTATCACACATTTGGCGAAGTAGCTTGTACTGCTGGAACGAGGGGCAGTCTACTCCCAATACTCCCAATTGGGAACGGAGGAGACAATAAACCGCCAATAGGCCCCAAGGCAAAAGAACACCGTGGATAGAGGGACATCGGCGTTGCGCGCTCTAATAACAATAACCGCTATCGAATCGAATGAATTATTATGTGAAAGGTGTCGAGCATCCATTCATGACATGATTTTGGGCCTGGCCACACCACTCTCGAAATGTGAAAAGCACAAAAATGTGGCGGGCAGGCGCATCTGGCCACGTTCTAGCCGGAAGTTCGTTCCCATTTTGCACATTTCGAGAGTGATGTGGCGATGCCCTTTTCCAAGAATAATGGGCCTCTCGCCACTACTCTGGACTCTGGAAATGTGTATCTTCCCATAGAACACGGGAATATACGCCGCCATGATTTTTGTTTTTGTCTTCTATGCACGTCCAGAGCAGCCGATCCCGCCTCAATGACTCTCCATCGGCGCTGTCGCATTCGGATCGCCGCGGCCTAAACGTGCTCGGTCAGACTGTGCATCCTCGAAGGTCCCTGATTGAGGAGATTCGCAGCTTTGGGGCCTCGCCACAGCACTCGAAATGTGAAAAAGACAAAAATGTGGCGGGGGCATCTGGCCATGTTCTAGCGGGAAGTTCGTTCCCATTTTCCAAATTTCGAGAGTGGTGCGGTCTTCTTGCGCCGCCCGCTTTTTCCTTCTCGCAGCCTTTCGGACCAGTGAGCGGGAGAGGTTGTTGCTGAGGTTAAAAACAGGGACTTGCTCCTACATGCAGCAGCAACTCGACTCGCCTCGCCTTCAGTGTGTGCTTCGGGAGAGTAAGGGGGGAAGGCAGAGCGGAGGGGCACTGTGTATACGCCCGTATGTTGTTACGTGCGTGACGTGCGCGTGTTTAGGGTGTCGCGTCTCGTCTGTGCGGGGCGTGTACCCTAACCAGGGAGAGAGGACGGCACTGCTGCAGCGTGTGGGAGTACAGCGGAACAAGAACAGCACCGGTGTTCAGTTTCAGCGATGGAGGGCTCCTTGGCTGCCGATCTGGTCCCTCGGCCGGAGAAGCTCCCTGAGCTGACACGTATGCACAGCATGACGGATCGTGTCAAAGGTTCCATCTCCGAGTACCGAAACCAGATCATCCTGCTCTTGTCCCGCTACGTGGCGAACGGGAAGCACATGCTGCAGCCGCACGAGCTGAAGAACGAGCTTGAGCGCGTTGCTGAGTTGGAGTGCTTCGCTGGGACGAAGATTAAGGAGAGCGCTTTCGGCAARCTCCTGCGCGCCACGCAGGAGGCTGTCGTCATCCCTCCGTACATTGCGCTGGCAGTGCGGCCRCGTGTAGCCGAGTGGCAGTACATTCGTGTCAACGTSTTCGAGCTCACGGTGGAGCAGCTCAGCCCGTCGGAGTACTTGGAGTTCAAGGAGCGTCTCAAGGCGGCTGATGATGAGGCGGCGCCKGTTTGCAGYGACTTCGCCACTCTGGAAATTGACATGGAGCCGTTCAACGCYGGCTTCCCGAGGCTYACCCGTCCTTCGTCCATCGGCGAGGGTGTGTCTTACCTGAACAAGCATCTGTCCTCGCGGATGTTCAAGGAGCCYGGAGGTCTTCAGCCTCTGCTTGACTTTCTGCGGACACACAAGTGCGTCGGCGAGACGTTGATGYTGAACGAGCGCATCGACACGCTCGAGAAACTCCGCGGCAACCTCGCSAAGGCGGAGGAGTACYTGGGCGCCCTTCCTGCCGAYACCYCCGTTGGCCAGGTGGCTGCGMGGCTGCAAGAGCTGGGYTTCGAGCGAGGCTGGGGTGACACCGCCGGGCGCATCAAGGAGATGCTGGACATGCTGTCGGACCTGATGCAGGCGCCTGAYGCAGATCTGCTGGAGAAGTTCCTGGGCCGCATCCCGCTCATCTTCAACGTGGCCATCATGTCGCCTCATGGCTATTTTGGGCAGGCGAACGTGCTTGGTCTTCCTGATACCGGCGGGCAGGTGGTGTATATCCTGGACCAGGTGAAGGCGTTCGAGAGGGACCTGTTGAAGCACAGCAAGCAGCAGGGATTGAACTACAAGCCTCAGATCATCGTGCTGACGAGGCTGATTCCCGACGCCCAGGGAACGTCTTGCAACCAGAGGATCGAGCACATCGATGGCACGCAGTACTCGAAGATCCTTCGTGTGCCCTTCAAGAACCCCAAGGACGGGAGCGTGCTGCGCAAGTGGGTGTCCCGCTTCGATGTCTGGCCCTACATGGAGCAGTTCACGGAGGACTCCGTGCACGAGCTGCGCGCTGAGTTCGGCGGCAATCCGGACCTCATCATCGGCAACTACAGCGACGGCAATTTGGTGGCTGTCCTGCTCGCGCACAGGCTGAAGGTGGCGCATTGCACMATCGCCCACGCGCTGGAGAAGACMAAGTAYCCSAACTCCGACCTCAACTGGAAGGAGCTGGATGAGAAGTATCACTTCTCCTGCCAATTCACYGCGGATCTSATCGCCATGAACCACGCCGACTTCATCATCACCAGCACGTTCCAGGAGATCGCGGGGCGGGCTGACACCGTGGGGCAGTACGAGTCGCACCAGGCATACACCATGCCCGGSCTRTACCGCGTTGTGAACGGCATCGACGTGTTCGACCCCAAGTTCAACATCGTCTCGCCTGGCGCTGACGCMGACACTTACTATCCTTACTTCATCAAGGAGAAGAGGCTGACSGCGTTCCACCCAGAGATCGAGGAGCTGCTGTATGGGCAGACGGAGGACGATAAGCTSTGCCGCGGCGTGCTSAAGGACAAGASCAAGCCCATCATCTTCACCATGGCGCGTCTGGACAAGGTGAAGAATYTGACRGGGCTCGCAGAGATGTTCGGCAAGAGCYCGCGCCTCCGCAAGCTGGTCAACCTGGTCATCGTGGGAGGTTAYATTGACCCGTCCCTGTCCATGGACAGAGAGGAGGTGCACCAGATCAACCATATGCACTCCGTCATTGACAAGTACGGGYTGGACAAGGGCGACATGCGGTGGATCGTGGCMCAGAAGCACCGGATGCGCAACGGAGAGCTRTACAGGTATATTGCAGACACCAAGGGCGCTTTCATTCAGCCTGCGTTCTACGAGGCGTTCGGTCTCACTGTGGTGGAGGCCATGACCTCGGGRCTGCCGACGTTCGCCACTTGCCACGGAGGTCCCGCAGAGGTCATCAAGCACGGCGTTTCCGGATACCACATCGACATGTACCGACCGGAGGAGGTGGCGGATTTGATCGCCGACTTCTTCGAGAGGTGCAAGACGGATCCAAGCGAGTGGGAGAGTCTGTCGAAGGCGGGACTGGAGAGGATCTACAGCAAGTTCACGTGGGAGATCTATGCGGAGAGGCTGATGACTCTCTCYCGTGTGTACACCTTCTGGAAGTTCGTTTCCAACCTGGACAGGAGGGAGGCAAGGAGGTACATCGAGATGTTCTACAATCTCAAGTACCGAGAGTGCGTCAAGACGGTGCCACTTGCTGTCGAATGATGACATGGTAATTTATTGCGCTTCTGCACACACATGCACACACACACACACACACACACACACACACACACACACACACACACACACACACACACACACACACACACACACACAGAGAGAGAAAAAGGACATAAATTATCGCGTTGCGCAGTCCAGTTTCGGATGGTAGGACTTTTGGCGGATGCGCAGTAACGTGTGAGCATTCGAGGGAAAGCGTCTTTGCTGCCAGTTGCGTGGTGTGTCGAAGCATTAGGGTGCGTGGAGGAACACGGCACGCTGCCTGCGTTCGATTCATTCTTGTGTTGTTTTGCCCTCTGTCGCGGATCCTGAGCTTAGCTATCTCGTCGACTGTTTGAACTGGATTATTTTGAGATGGTGGCGTTTTGTGCTTCTCCTATGTGAGCCTTACGGATTTTACTGCCGGGCAAGCTCTCCTGTGCGTTCTTGCCTGCTCGCTTGGTGATGCCTTCCGGAGCGAGTGGGTTACATGGAGACGCGGTGAGAGAGAGAGAGAGAGAGAGAGAGAGAGAGAGAGAGAGAGCATTTGCCGCTCTGTGGTGTTGCTAGCTGTTAGGCAGTTTATGCCAGACAAAGAAATCGGGTCGGTTCTCCTTTGCCCGAGTTTTGTCTCTTTATACGGGCGGCTGACATAGATCTTGTATTTCCTGGCTGCCAGGGCCGTTGACTTCACCTACAAATGAAGCTCCTCAATGAGTTCTGATTTAGGTCTTCTATTCTATCTCATGTCGGTCGGGTTTGTCTGCCGTCCTCCGTTATCCTTTCTCCGTTCTATGGTCTGTCCTTGCTCTTCCTCCTTCCCCCTTCCTCTTTACACTTTCTCCATCCCTGCTCTGCCTGTTTTATCCTTTTTACCTATTTTTCTTGCTTGCTCCGATCGGAATAGTGGCTCGAGTTGAATGTGGAAAAGCCTGTCATGCCTGTTACTCTTTAAATGTGTTTTATTGTTGAGTTGAATGTAGTGATTCTTGCTTCTGCTTTTGCGTTTTGGTGGTGTTGCCCCGACTTGAGCTTCTGGAATGCCAGCCTATCCCGCCAAGACTCGTCATATATGGCCAGGTTTTCCTCAATCATTTTCGTCATTGACTCTGGCTTTGCCCCGACTTGATCTTCTGGAATGCCAGCTTATGTATGGTCAGGTTTTCCTCCTCGATGACTTCGGTCATTGACTTTTGCTTCGACTTGTCGCTGTAATTAGCTCTTTTTTACCTTCTCGCCGTTGCCCTGAAGCTGTCTTATCTCTCTGTCGTTTAGGCCCTCCCTGCCACGCCTGTTATACGTGTACATCCTATTCAGCTTCGTTTTTGTTTTTTTTTATACTGCTTCCTACGATCTTTGTATGACGTGCTCCGTTTCTGTGATTGCCAGAGCCCGTTTTCGTCGCAGACGCACCCGCAAATCATCCGCAAATCATGAGCAAACAGGCTAAATGTGACATGTTAGTCGATGGATAAAGAAAGCACAACTTGTTCGAGGCAATCATAGGCAAGAGACGTCAACGAAAGCGGAGATGCTTTCGGGATATCTAAAAGTATCAGTTTCCAGTGTTTGCACTGTACGTCACGTAAGCAAGTGTGCGTATTGCATTCGCCCGTGCAGGTGGAACGCACGGTCGTGCCTATCCTCTTCGCCCGAATAGAACACGCGGTCGTTGTCGTTATCCCTACGTAGTCGAGAGCGGAAGTTTCAACGAATGTACTGACCATGGGTTCTATTGGGGAAAATCCCTAACGGTAGTGAGATAATACGTAGGGTTACGTTATGGCGAGACGCGAGACCATGTAAAGAACATTATCGTGAGACTATCTTCCGAAACATGTACCTGGCCACTATAGACGTATGTAGTAAACCATGCAGACCAGGTACGGATAACAATTCGGGGTTGTGTTCAGGTATGAGTGAAAACCTGCAGGCCAGGTACGGATGACAATCTGGGGTTGTGTTCGGCGGTGCAGATACCGAGGACTTCTGTCGGTTATAGAGGACGACGACTATATAACAGAACGACTATCTTCTTTTCCTTTTTTTTTGTCTTTTTTGGTTTGTCTTTGTTTGTTTTTACTATCTTCTTTTCCGGAACATGGTTAGAATTGTTGAATCCAGGCCAGGTACGGATAAGGATCCAGGGTTGTTTTCGGGGTTGCAACAAGTACGGAGGACTGTTCCGTTGTAGAGAACATTATCGTAAGACTTTCTTTCCCGGAAAATCTAACTGGTCAGTAGAGGTGTATGTAATGAAAACCCTCCAGGCCAGATGCAGATAACGATGGGGGGTTAGTGTTCGGGGGTGCAAAGAAGCAGTTGCACTTCCGAAATGCGCGTCAGCCAGTCACAGCTTTGCTTTCGCAAACCGCGGACGCCTGGCAGGCGGGAATGAAAGCTTGCCGTCGTCCCCCGAACACAACGCACCCTCACTCTGGCTTGTACACATTCAATAGCAGGGTGCTTTATGTTCGGGGGCTAGGTCCCACTTGCACGAATTAAGAGATACTGACCGTAGATAGCAAAGATCAACGGCCGAAATCTCCTAATTTCTGCGAGTGGGACCTTGCCTCTGGGAAGGCGCGCTAGTGGTCCGTTCGCGCATTATTTGGGCATAAACTCAGCTGACTGGAGTGAAGGCCAGGCCTGGACGAATCTGACCGCAATCACGTCCAGAGCGTTGCCCAAAAGAAGTCCAACCGGAATTAGTTTTGCGCTTTTTGCTGTCCTTCTGTGCCCGCTTGATGACGTCGAAAAGTGTGGCTTCGTTTTTTCAACAGAAATGAATACGAGTGACTTCTCTTTTCGCTTGGTGGCGGCTGAAGAACGAAAAGAAAAACGGAAAAGAGAGTCGACTTCAAAAGAGAGTCGTGTAACTTCGTTTCCCAACAGAGTTCTGTAACTTCGTTTCCCGTTTCTTGTCGGTTATTTGGCCGACAAAACGGTAGAAACCATCGGGAAAAGCCGCGTGTCCTGCTAGACCTGGGATGGCAATTCCAACCAAAGTGGTGGACCCCACTGGCAGGCGGCTGGAAACTGGTGTTGGCCACAAAAAAGGGCCGACCTTGGTTGGAAAAAACTGGACGCATTTTGAAGGGACCCCACGGCAGACCTATAGTTTTGGCACTGGAAAAGGCATGACATACCCGAATAGCTGCCTAGACATACCCCAATAGGAAGCGGCCGAAGGGTATTGCCCGACTTGAACAGGAAGCGGCCGAACGGTGTTTCCCGAAAAGGCAAGTCGGGTGGGTGTTGTGGACCATGGCCTGGTACCGCACTGCTTCAGGACAAGTCCGTGTGTGGCCTTTGGAATACTTTGGGACACCATGGGAAAATACAATTGTCTGCCACGACCTCCGGGTACACAGAACTGTCCATGGCGAGGGTGCATGAGTTACGCCGTGAAGCATGCGTCTGGAAACTGATGGACATGCTCCGCCCCCTGCTCAACTGGCCGCCTCCTTGGAAAGGGTCTCGAAACCGGTCGGCGTTGAATATCCAGACCGCGGACCATGTAGAAATGCCCCGTCACCATTTTCGCAACCTCTTTTCAAGCGCAGTGGGGTCTGGAATTCCTTTCCGGGCCGACTTTCCACATCGGTTTCCAGACCCAGTGGGGTCTGGAAAACACCCCGACGCCCAAACTTTTCCAGGCCGCCGGCCAGTGGGGTCCACCCCTAGGCCTGGACCCCACTGGCCGGCGGCTGGAAAAGGTATCAGGTCCTTTGGGGCATCCGTTAAAGTTGGAAGGATACAGAGAAGATTAGCGTGGCCCCTGCGCAAGGATGACACGCATGAATCGAAAAATGCAAAAACGTATCAGGCCACCAAAAGCTGGTCAACGTCAGTGGAAGCTTTTTGGCACGTTTTGGCACGTTTCCAAAAGCCACACTGCCAACTTCTGTGCTTTGGAAACTGCCAGGCTTACCGCAATAGGAAACCCGAGAGGGGCCCTCCCGAAGAGGGAAGTACGAACAGCCTGCATGGACCAGCGGACATGCCAGCCTCTCGGGTTGGCTTGTCCTTGTGGGGCGTCGGATGCTGTCCACCACACCGTGCCCAAATTTGAAGTCCACGATGCCTGTTTACTCTACTGTGACGCCCAACCTCACGCCCAGCGCAATTCCTGATCGGATGAAGTGTGCCAAAAAGGGGTGTGCCAAGGATTTTAGGAAGATGGGCGGGGGGGGGAGAGTCCTAGGTCAGAACTGAGATCTCCTATGTCAAGTTTCAGGGATAAGAATCGCAAGTGGGCGGTTGAAGGACGAGGTTCCTTTTAGGCCCTCGAGTAACAGGGTGATCACCTTCGTTGGTCCCGTCGTCTGGGGCAGATCCGTATTCGGTGTACCGTAGGGACGCTATGGCTGTCCCATTGGTGCATCACCCATCGTCAGCGGGTTTCACAGGTTTCGGAATCGGACGCCGCCGGCCTCAGCAGAAGGCTGTACTCCCGTCGTTTGGCTTCCAAGCGGGTTCGTTGTACAGATCCCGATACTCAGTAGGCGTGGTCTTTCAGACACTCGGAGCACTGGGGTTGCGGCCAGTAGGGGGCGAGTACTTGCCAAGGGGCAATGGTCAGGCAGTGGAAAGGCAATATACGGTGATAGGGAGGGAACTCTGTTTCAATGATAGCTATGCTGGGTTCAGTGATGATTTGACACGTGCACGGGCTGGGACAGCTGGGGTAATGGGGAGTACGTTCCAAGCCCCGTCTAATATCCCACTCGCAGAGACGTTTGGTTCCCGTGTGATACAGAAATACCAGGAACTCAGTTCTCGATCGTGCAGCATGGCATGTGCGTTCCCAGTATTCTTGGAACTAGCGATCCCTTAGGCACTCACGGTCGGTGATCCGGAAGTGAATTTCGACATTCATACTATGGGGTTGCGGTAGGAATCCATACGATCCAAGTGCTCGTTTGTCAACCAGATTGAGGGCAGATCCTGTAGGGGAGCGTGTACGTAGTGGCCTTCAACGCCAAGCGTACACATGCGTGCACATGATCTTCTTTCGATCTGGCTGGGACTCTTCACAGCTTTCGGCAGAGGTGCATATGGCTTGTCGGATCGCCCAGAGGTGTCGCTGGTGGGCTTAACGTGAAGCAGGCATCTAATCAACCGGCATGCTCATCTATATATTCAACATTGTAGAAAAGTCAAGAAACAAACATTCATGCATCAAAACATCCAATTGGCCAGAGAACATAGTACACAGAACGAGGGCGGATAATCAATCCATCAGGTGGACAACAAGTAGAAGAATGATGTGGTGGGAAGAAGACAAGTTTAATCATCCATCAATATGCAAAAGAGAAACAAGGAAAGACCCGAAACAATCATGAACAAAAGATGGTTTGCGTCGGGCACCAAAATTGCGCAAAAACAAGGTCGAGGACAAAACACCACTTCAACACTTCCCGTTTTCTCTCTCTCTCTCTCTCTCTCTCTCTCTCTCTCTCTCTCTCTCTCTCTCTCTCTCTCTCTCTCTCTCTCTCTCTCTATCTATCTATCTATCTATCTATCTATCTATCTCTTGCTCGCCACATCGATGCGGGCAGTCCGTTGCCTCGCACCTACTACTTACACAGAGTTATAACCCCGCTTAGTCTGAACATGCAAGCCAGGTTCGCCCGTGTGCCACAGTCCTTCGCGGCCATGCGTCAACCCCACATACCCAGCACCAGCTCGTTGGATCGCCCAACTCCCTACTCACCGTCTTGCTCCTGCATGTTAGCTAATCCTCTCGATCGCGCTAACTCCAAAGTTGATTAGATAGCGAGTTAATCGCGCTTGCAAAATGTATAGCATGAGCGCCCGCGCGAAATAGACGGGATCGTGTCTGCGTGGGAGAGAAGGAGAAGGAAGGAAGTGCCTATGATTGTATGGCCGGGCCGTTGCGTGGGGGACGT